ACTGGTTTTGATAAATTCGTTGGTCTATTGTACCTCTCCCTCACCCATCTCTCACCCCTGTCTGCTGCATCCCTCCCACACTCTCTCCCACGCCACCCCCTCCCTCTCCCTCCCGTGGTGCAACGTCGACGTAGGCCTGAGGAGTGACGCCAACCCGGCATCAAGCGGATCCACAGTGGTCAGTTCTGCAACACCGGGCCAAGAGCATGGCGGTAGCTACTATGGGCGTTGGTAGATCTGTGAGCGGGAACCAAGTGCGCGACGACTGCCCCCCTCCTAGTGGAGCCGGCAAGGCGGCAGACCGGAGGCTCGTTTTGTTAATTTTTTATTTCCACCATCAGTGATGAAGCCGCCCACTTTCACTGCTGAAGCACGAAACTGATGATGAAAATAGGTTACAATCTGACAGTGAAAATAAGTTACAAAACAACAATGATGAGAATTTTGTATATTAGTGTTAGGGTCTGGGCAAGCCTTGGCTCGCCAATTAGACATTCTTCTCGATGAACCCCTATTAATGAAAATCTGGCATGGTCATGAAAAATGCTCATGTGATTGCTAGCATGTTGATCTTTAGATATGTGGAGTTGCACTCCCTGCATGACAACCAAACTCCTAAACGGAGAACTGGTTATTGACGAACAACGTAGAGCGAGGCGAAGGAAGGGACAATCATTTTTTTATTTTTTAGGATGATATTATTAGAAACCAATGGAGATCTCTATATTTTTTGTTCACTTGGTATAATAATTGATTATAGTGATTTTTAGAAATTTATTGGAGATGCGCTAAGGGGTTGTTTGTTTGAGCCCCAACTTTTAGGTTGTTGGTCTTTCTAGCTTCTACCTTTTGCCTTTTTGTTATTGGTTTTTGTAATTAATTTATAGTTTCTCAGCACACCAAAAGATAGAAAAGCTCTTCTTAGCGTGTTTTTTTTAGATTTTAATTCATTTCCTCGTAAGCCGGCTTTCTAGCTTTTTAAAAGTTAGCTTGACTGGTGGCCTGTTTGTTTTAGCTTTACGTTGGCTTCGCGAGATCCAATGTGTCCTATCTAAAAACACACACCACCAACAAATGGGTCACCGGCTCCGGTTCTTATGCACATAGCACATACGGAGTATGTCTCTATCTAACAAGTACGAATGTTAGTGTATAATATTTCTCTCAAAACGTTTAGAGTGCTGACCATTAAACTTGAATTATCAAATAATGTAGATATATATATGCTACAATGTTTCTGTCAAAATATAATAAATTATTTTAAGCAGCAACTTCCATGACTATTTTCCATGGAGCATTATATAGTTTATTTAACATGTCATCAAGGCGAAATTGGTAACGAACCCTAAAGCAAATTATAAAGGGAGATGATGTATCTGCCTTGTATAAGCGCATAGACTAGAGCTACATGGCGAAAATTTAGTCCTAACCACTAGTCTTGTAATCTTGTATTCTCGTGTAGTACCATCAAGATAAAGATGCGAGTAATTAAAGTTTGCACATTTCTCTTTCGACTTGAGAGAGGTAGCGTAGGTTACGCATTACATGGAAAGCAACATATCTATAAAAGACTATAAATTTGAGGGGGTCACGGCACGTTACTGTTCATCCAGTGCGCCCTCCTCACACACCACTGTATATGAACAGTAATGAATCATAATGAACAGTACCATTTTTTTCCCACCTTTTTCCTTATTTTTTTTCCCTTTCCTCTCCTTCCCACGCAAAGCGTGGGGGCGCACGCTAGTATGTCAATATACGCCAGGAGGCCTCATCCCATTGGACACGAACGAGGTAAGTCAATGCTAATATTATATAAAACCAGGATCGACAAGCTAACCTATTAGTGCCGAGATCAGATCCTTCATTAGTTTTAGGCTTTTAGCGACGCAACAAGATGGATCGAGCAACACTTGGACGGCTACGCAGCCTGTGAGGACGGATACATAGTTTTAATATCCAATGGATGAACTATTCTACGTACTATGCATACACATCATTGATGAATTATTCCAAGACAAACTTGACTCGATCGATCCGGTGTACACTTGTACGTACTAGGTTACACATCTACGTGCCATCGTGCCTAACCACCAGCATCAGGAAAAAAATAATACGTTCTTCTCCTAACCAAAACCTGCTGAACCTGCTAGCTGTTATTTTTTGAATTTGGCGTAGGTAGAACTGACTTGCCGGCAATGGCGGATGCCTGGACACGTACAAACCCCACAGGAAGGCGTGATCCATATATATTCACAGGTACCTATATATAAATCTATTTTTTTATTATTATTCGGTTTGGTCCCCGGCCCATCATATATACTCTAGTACATCTCTCTTTCATTTATTATTTTTCCCCTGAAAACATCTCTTTCACACAGTCATAAGTGCGGCCAATGTCAGAATATCAGATAGTTGTCACAGCTCTTATTGATGACCGATCAGCAATGCATAACCATTATTTTTTCTTACTGACAATAATATAATAATGCTAGAGATTGAAGCTCAACAGAAATAGACAAAGCGTCCTACTACTACTGTTGAAGAGCACAAGAGTGTATCCACGTGTGGAAGCACAGGATATCCACACACCTTGCTCTCAAGTCTCAAGTGAAGAAAACCTGTCTCAGCGTTCTTCCCTGCCGCAGGGCATCCATTATTTAAATATATATACTCTCATCAGTCCTCAAATGTGTTTCAACAAGTAGGTATATATATGCAACAATTTAATTCACTTCTTTACAATTGTGAAACAAATTAATATAACTTGCAAGCAGATCGACATGTGCCTAGATGATTGTGCTATCATTCCTATGCACTGATTAGGTGTGGAGTGGATCTGCCATTGTAACATAAATCTTTTTTTCCGCCGGTGTTTGGTTCCACCCACTAAAATTTAGTCAATGTCATATCGAATGTTTGGACACATGCATGGAGTATTAAAAATAGACTAATTACAAAAATAATTGCACAGATTGAGACTAATTTACGAGACGAATCTATTAAGGCTAATTAGACTCATGCTTAGTCTTCCTAATTAGTATCTAAATACCCGATGTGACATCTACTAAACTTTAGTTCCTAGATCAAACACCCCCTGAATAGCAGAGCTCCTGTCCATATGTTAAAAAAATTGCTACCGTGTTCAAGATCACCACCTTCGGTTTTGGCACTGTGCAAAACAATGATACGTGTAGTGGAAAGAGGAGCCAAGGCGACATGCACGAAGGCGACATGCACGAAAGCTAGCTAGCTCACATGTGGTTTCAATGGTGCCATGCATGCATGAACACATATATCTCCAACAGCTGCTAGCTGACGGGGCAAAGAATCGGCAGCATTGTTTGGTGGCAACGAAGAACTGCTGTGTAAAACACTACTGGGAGCCGCAATTTGCTGAGGTCGTTGTGCATCAATCACGAAATTGGCGAGCAAAACAACAAATGTCGTTGCCACATCTTGCATCCACCCCCACCGCATCTGGATGGGGATGGGGACCTACAAATTAACCTGTAATCATCTCTGTGTCAACAATAATATCCGGTGATTAATTCTGATCCGTCGTTGATGATTGGAGACTCAAAGCTGGGGTTAGTCCTACTTGTCAGTGACATGCATGCACAGGTACGGTATCGACACTGCACAATTGTGACGTATATATACTAACCTGCTGATAGTGCTTGCTTGCTACAGGAACCGGTTGGAGCTAGACCACCATCGGGTGAAACCGTGAAAGGAGTAGATCGATGATGACCATCAGTACCTTGCCTGCTTGAATTGGTTTAGACAAACTGTTCTCTTTTGCGAACTGAGCCTAGCTTAGTTGGCCAGGTTCCTTGTGGATGTGCCGGCATAGTCTTTCGAAGGTGCTCATAGGATAGGGTTTGCATACGTATATTCATAGAGGTGAGTGTGCGTGTGTATTGAGCGTCTGCGTCTGTACTTGTGTAATTCGAAAAAAAAATATTCTCTTCTATTGTTGCAACCAAAAGAGTAAACATAGATATGGCATTTCATGTTGTTGCCTCAAGATATAACCACTATTAAGAGCAGCTCCAACAAGGCAACTATTCATACTCCTATGCTACTTTTGAGGGTTGATGAACAAAAAATACTCATTCTAATAGAGTTTTTACTCATACCCTAAAAATAGAAATCCCTCAAATTCTCTCTTCAAACCATTCTTTTTTTATAGTTATAGTTGCTCTCCCCACGCTGGTATCGAGAGGAGGAGCGACATGGGGACAAGGGCGAGGTCATGACTCATGAGGATAGGGCCGACGCAGTATTGGGAATAGGTCGCGAGGATAGGCCCAAAGAAATAAAATAGAAGGGTAGAGAAAAAAAAAGGAAAAATAGGCAATGACAAGTGGGGGCCCTTGTATGAAGTGGGTCCGTGAGTAAATAATAAGGAGCTGTTTTGTTAAACGCTTTTCTAACCAGTGAAGCTGGAGAAAAAAAACTGCTCCACCAATGAATGTAGCTAGGATTGCCCTTAGATCACTGATAGATGCTTGTGTGTTATCCCCATTTCCCCACACCTAAAAAAAAGAAAACCCCTCTTCTGTATTTCTGAAGACTTACAAAAAGGTATTTTTGTCGATCGATGGACCCAAGGAAGATATATATACTCACACGACTCGTTGCAACTCAACACCTGAATCTGGTCTCTCGCTCACACACAGCATATGTACTTAGCGTGTCAATTTGTCCGATCCATGCACGCTTGGTGACCACACATGCCTGCGCTGTCTACTACCGGCTCATGCTCCACTCTATATATTAGGACCGGCCACAGGCCGTCAAGAACTGCTCCACCACTACCATCTATGTATCCACAAATGACAAAATCCAACAGCAGCATATACACACACATCTTGTAGCTAGCTCAAGGACTGCAGCAGCTAACAGGTCATATTCCAGCAGGAAGCAGCACGAACGCACAGTTAGCAAGAAGGATCGGAGCAGGTAGGAACCGGTGACTGGCCGGCGCGGCGGCGATGACGACGTACAGGGTCTGCTGCTTCCTGCGGCGGTTCCGGGCGGCGTCGAACGAGCCGTCGGAGGCGGTCAGGGACGTGTTCCAGGCGTACAACGACGGCGGCGTGCTCGGGGAGGAGGCGCTGCGGAGGCTCCTGCGGGAGGTGCAGGGGGAGACCGAGGCCGGCGCCGACGCGGCAGCCAAGGAGGTGATGGCGTTCGCGGCGGAGCAGAGGCTGCTCAAGAAGGGCGGCCTCACCGCCGAGGGCTTCCACCGCTGGCTCTTCAGCGACGCCAACGCCGCCCTCGACCCGCGCCGAGGGGTGAGTTTTTCTTCAGCTAGCAGCTATCTTTTTAAAAAAATATATATTTTCAGTTCATCAACTTTTTTTCTTGAACAACTTTGCTCTCTCTGTTTTTTTTATATATTCGTTCTAGGAATCCTATAAAAACATATCCACATATACTATGTTGTGGTTCGATTTACAACAGTATAGTTTACTCGTATATCATATCAGTATCAGCAAAGACTATCAATATTTATATCTGTATATATCTACAGTATATTATATGGTTTTATTTTAGTCCTGCAGAGTTGAACATAGTCATGCAGACCTGACGAGAGCATGCAGCTACCCCTTCTGCAATTGTGTACATGCACCATGCACGCATTTATGAAAAGCATTAGGATTTTTCTTAAAAAAACAAAAAGGATTATTAATCATTACTATTTTTTTCTGGCCACAGCAACACAAGTAATCCTCCCTTTGTCCTAAAAAGAATATAATTATAGGTTACGTGTCAGTTAAAGTGGTTCACATTTGACCCAATTTCTAGTGAATGGTACTCAATTTATGCCTCTAAATTAATTTATTATAAAAATACATTTTATAATTAATTTAATGATATGATATTTATTTGATATCATAAATATTGATATTTTTTATCTATAATATAATTGGTCAAATTAATTAAAAATACTAAAACATGGTTATATGCTTGTATTGCATTCTTTCTTATATGGAAGGAGTATGTCGTATTGATCGGTATATTTGGGACCATTATTTCAAGAAAGGATAGGGTTTTATTTGAGAGCAACACATGTAAGGATCCTTATAGCTTACCTCTCCGCCCACCCATATATAGTAGTTAGCTCTTCAACATTAATACATGGCGCACATATCTCTCTCATAGAGTTTCTCGGTTCTTGTATCTAAGCCGACTGTAAACTTGCAGTCCACTCTCTCTCTCTCTCTCTCTCCCCCTCCACGTCAGCCTGCTATTATAATGGCTCTGAGAGGATTAAAAGCTTGCCGTTAGGTCAACGATACAGTTCATAGTTGTGACTTGTGCCGGGGATCAGGGGCAAGCTGTACAATCCATGCACTGTTGAGCCCATGTGCACTGTCCTTCCAAGCCCAGCATCATAGTCGCATTACACGTCTGTAGGACCATATGAATCATGCACGCGCTAACCATCTTTTTTTTTTTAAACAAACCACGCGCTAACCATCTACAGTACTAGAAGTGGTACTAACAAACCAAGATTAGGGGATGTAGTTTGGCTTTAGCATAGCTTCAACTAATCAACTAACTCCAAAATGCATGAAGGATTACCACTTCAAGTATATTATCCATTCCACAAAGAGTCATTGATTTTGTGCCAAATCAAACAATTTTGAGTATGCATGAAGGTTTTTGACTTCAATTATACTACCCATTCCACAAAGACTGTCATTTTGATTTTGTTCCAAGCCAAACAATTTGAAATTTGACTAAATTTATATGAAATAAATATCAATATTGAAGCAAATAGGCCTTATTAAAATCCCTGATTTTGAACAACTTCTCTCATCTTCCATTTCTTTTTCGAATGTCCAAATCGGTCAGAGACTTGGTAATAGCCTAGTAGGTAAGTTGGCAGTAATCACTTGACAGTGAGCTTCTATACAATTTCTAATGAGCTTGTGTGGTCGATGTGACTCTCTGGTACGTACAAAGAAGAATCAATGTGTCATTTTTGTCGAGATTTATGTGTCACTGTATATATTATTAGCCTAATGCAACTTCTACATCGATTCTGTGATGTAACACATATTTGCAAAACATATACTAGTAAAATTACTTTACGTCTAAAAATATAGTTGGAAGCACACATTAATTACCTTTCTCCACATATTTTTTTCACTTATGGGGTATGTGTTACAAAAAGTTATAAGTTCGTACCTTCTTTTAATATGAAACACAGTAGACACAAATATGCTCATATACATGTCCACACAATAACTACCCCTATGAGCACTTTGAAAGACTGAGTTAGTGGAGCATGAGATTCAAAAACTCATAATAGGCATGCGATGTCTTCTTATCAATGGGTATGTTGCCTAACACAGAAAGATTAACACCGGTTTTTCTATAATAAATATGGAAAACTGCATCACAAATGAGAAAAGTATATATAATGTATTGTTTGTTTTTCAAAGTTTTGAGTCCTCATGGTTTTCTCTTATGTCACATTTTCTTTTGCATATATATCCCTATTGCTTGAACTTTTGTGGATACATTGGCAAAAATCACTTGACAGTGAAGTTATGTTCAAGCGCTCATATTCTAGTGGCTTATGTACTCGCTCAGGTTTAAATTCTTTGTCTGAAACTTTGAAGGCCCATTACACGTGTCAAGTGTAGTGATAATTTTGGAGGACATTTGAAAAATATTTGCAAAACGTATAGCAAGTAGTAAAGTACTTTATATAGACCAACAAAAATTCAAAAGTATATAATCACAATTAAAAAATTATCTGACACCAGGTTTCCTCTTCATGTCACGCTTCCACAAAGAGGGCAACAAGTACTTTCTCCGGTCATAAATAAGTCAATCTCTTCTAATTTTGTTGATTAGAAATATCTATAAAAAATATTACCTTAAATCAAGACTTATATCATGAAAGCATTTTTCATAATGAGTCTAGTAATATCACTCTTGTGTTGTCCTCGTATACCAAATTTATATATTAATGGTTATGAAAATTGTTTGACTCACAACAAACCTAGATGGATATTCTATTTACGATCATTTGAAGTATTTGAGAAGATACTTCCTCCAGTCAGAACTAAGTCAATTAATCCATCTATAGTCCTTGCTCTGATTATAATTTTAGATATTAATGTCAATTAAAGTACTTCCTTCTATCACAGGCATGTTAATCTACCTAGTAGCTCTTGTTGCCGATCAAGATAGATATTGCTATATTATCTTCTTTTGTTTTTATTCTATTTTTTATTTTCACTGTTCCAAAATTTGAAGACTTTTACTGTATTATTCAAAAATTATTTTAACTACTTAGATGGTTACATAGTTTTAGACACAAATTAATAATTAACCCTAAGAAATACACATATTCCTAATATTGTTCTTTTTATAAAGGAAAAAATAGTGCAAAGCAAGGCCAAAAGGTACTTTTCTTACGTTCTTGCAAGTTAAGGGTAATTCTAGTACATTTTATGCAGATATAAAAACTAACCAAAACAAATCATGCAGTAGTTGGCTAGTTGTTGCCATATTTTTTAGAGTATGGAATCAGGATAGTTACCAGTGAAGCCAACCTAAGGCTCACAATTTACATATGCATGTTGCAATTTGAAAACTCATAGTGGGTGGGTAATCTAGATTAAACAATAACATCATGCCATGTACGCAATTTGAAAACTCATAGTGGGTGGGTAATCTAGATTAAACAATAACATCATGCCATGTACTCCCTCTGTTCCTGAAAGAATCAATTTCTAGGAACTTTAGAATAGAGTAGCAAACGAGAGAAAAGACCATGGTACCCCTAATAAAATCGTGGACATATGCTCTGTTGCCAAGAATCTTAAATGCCACTGCGGCCTTCGAGCGGTGGTGGGGAGAGAGACGCATGAAGGGGAAAGAGTGCGGCAATGGAGAAGAGGGAGTCTAGTCTCAGTACGGGAGGGAGAGAGCTGCCGTAAAAGTAGAAGGTGGGGACCAGACATGCGACGTAAATGCAGAAGGTGGGAATCAAGCATGAGATGGAAACTCCGAGGTAAAATTAAATGGTCCGGTGGAGTGTCGATTCTTTGGTGGACAAATTTTTGGCTTAGGAATCTATTCTTTCAGGGACATAGGAAGGATGTGCTTTCATCTTTTGACTATGGTTGGTGATAATAATAACCAAACTCCGGTATCGGCTCAAGACTCAAGAGGAGAGCTGACTCACCATTGACCTATGCAATGGTTGGGATTGCCATCATGCTATGTATGTGTCTATATCTTTTGACAATTAATTCTTCTCAATTAAGAATAATAAGATCACAGGTGAGATAGTACAGCTAGTACCAATTGTTGTGGGTTATTGTGTCAATCCAAAACTTGCTAAAATAAACATATATAACACGCACACGATAAATTTAGTAGAAAAGTGAACTAAAACTGGTTGACATACAAGACAACACATGCATATGTACCTAGAGATAAGGTACATAACTTTCTTTTTTCCAAATCGTTTATATAGATACACTGACGCTCACATACATGTACACACACTCGATAGTATGAACGCAAGTGTACACATCTTACCCCTTATGAGTACCTATGAAAGACTGAGATGGTAAATTTGAAGATCAATAAAGTGATCACATGTGTTCTGCTGTTGTGACAAATTATCTAACACTGAAAGAATAGCTCTAGTTAAATCCTAGGATAAATCTAGGAAAATATAAACACCTGCGCAAGTGAATGACGGGAGCCTAGGTAGATAGCCTATATCAAAAGGAATCTATCCAACTGAGCTACAATTCATATAGTTGGAACTTTTTTGACAAGCTCACAAATGATAGTGCTGACGTTGAGTTGATCTGGTGTGATTAGATTCTTGTAAAAGCAAGTGCCACCCACCTCATAACGAAAAAGATACATGTAGAAAATTAAAGTGTCACCTAGACAAAAAGAAGGCCAAGGACCTACATGGATTGAAATGGTTAATAATACAGTAATGCACGCATGACCCCTAATGTCTAATGATAGGATTTGGTGTTGGATATATTCGATGCAAGTTGTGCTTTACCAAACATCGCAGTTAGGTTAGGCACGCGATGATCATCCAAACACCTTTTTTTACTGTTGTTAATAAATATATATTTCCATCCCTTATTTACATTTAACGTTTTCACTAGACAGAAACTTTACTTTATCTCTCCTCGCCTTGGAAATTTTACTTTATTATTATCTGGTTCATATGACCACATATATTGTTCTTCGCAAAAAATTACAATCATATATATATATATATATATTTAGGGAATTATAATCATATATATTAATTGCACAGATGATATAATAAGAAATACTAATATGAAAAATTGCATGGACGAATAGTGCAGGTTTACCAGGACATGGGCTTGCCGCTGTCGCACTACTTCATCTACACGGGCCACAACTCGTACCTGACGGGGAACCAGCTGAGCAGCGGGTCCAGCGAGAGGCCCATCGTGAAGGCCCTCCACGACGGCGTCCGGGTCATCGAGCTGGACCTCTGGCCCAACGCCGCCAAGGACGACGTCGAGGTCCTCCACGGCAGGTGGGTGGGTTCTGTTGTCGCGGGAAATAAAAGCCCAACCTAAAATCCGGCCCAACACGCTATATATCCTGCTCCTTGCCACTGACGACGACGACGGCGATGGTGCGTGCGGTGCAGGACATGGACGTCGCCGGTGGAGCTGATCAAGTGCCTGGAGGCCATCAAGGAGCACGCCTTCGCGACGTCACCCTACCCCGTCATCCTCACCCTGGAAGATCACCTCACCCCGGACCTCCAAGCCAAAGTGGCCAAGGTGCCTGTGCACCGATCTCCTTCTCATGCTTGGCTGCTCCGAGCCTCCGATCTGGATCTTATGGCGAGAACTGATCGACAACCCTAACTTGCTTGCTATCAGATGCTGAAGGAAACCTTCGGGGAGATGCTGTACGTGTCGGAGTCGGAGCAGATGGCGGAGTTCCCTTCCCCTGACGAGCTCAAGGGCAAGATCATCATCTCCACCAAAGCGCCAAAGGAGTACCTCCAGATCAAGAGCGGCAAGGAGGAGGCGGCGGAGGAGCAGGAGGGCGTCTGGGGGGAGGAGATCTCCGACGATAAGACCACCGCCCGTCAGGCACGTGCATCGACTGCATGCTGCAGTCTCTCTGACTCATCAAGCCATAGCCAGCTAGCTGGATATATATGCCTGAACCTGAACACTGAATTGGATGCATGATGGAAATGGAACAAGCAGATGTCGGAGCAGTACAGCGGCAAGTCGTACGCGGCGGCGGCGGAGGCCGCTGGCGCCGAGGAGGAGGTGGGAGAGGAGGCCGAGAAGAAGACGCGGCAGGGGACGGACAACGAGTACCGGCGCCTCATCGCCATCCAGCTCACCAGGCGGAAGCACGACATGGAGCAGGACCTCAGGGTCGACCCCGACAAGGTGACGCGCCTCAGCCTCGGGGAGAAGGCCTACGAGAAGGCCATCGTCTCCCATGGCGATCACATCATCAGGTCAGGGTCAGCTTAATTTTCAGTTACTATTTCGATCAGATAAACTAAACTAACACTGTTCAGGTTCAGCTCAGCTCAGTTCTACGGATTTGGTGACCGTTTCAGGTTCACGCAGCGGAATCTGCTGCGCATTTTCCCGCGGTCGACGCGCATCACGTCCTCCAACTACAACCCGCTGATGGGGTGGAGGTATGGAGTGCAGATGGTGGCGGCAAACATGCAGGGACATGGAAGGAAGCTGTGGCTAACGCAGGGGATGTTCCGGGCGAACGGCGGCTGCGGCTACGTCAAGAAGCCCGACGTGCTGATGAACAGCGACCCCGCCGGCGGCAAGCTGTTCGACCCATCACGAGCCGATCTGCCGGTGAAGACGAGGCTGAAGGTGACGGTGTACATGGGGGACGGGTGGCGGTTCGACTTCCGGAAGACGCACTTCGACAGGTGCTCGCCGCCGGACTTCTACGCGAGGGTGGGGATCGCCGGAGTCGCGGCGGACACGAGGATGGAGCAGACGCGGGTGGTGATGGACAGCTGGATCCCCGCGTGGGACCACGAGTTCGGCGAGTTCCCGCTGGCGGCGCCGGAGCTGGCGCTGCTAAGGGTGGAGGTGCACGAGTCGGACAACCACCAGAAGGACGACTTCGGCGGCCAGACATGCCTGCCGGTGTGGGAGCTCCGCCCCGGGATCCGCTCCGTCAGGCTCTCCGACCACAAGGGCCAGCCGCTGCGCTCCGTCAAGCTGCTCATGCGCTTCGAGTTCTTCCCCTCCCCCGACTCCAACTCCAACTCCAACTCCAACTCCAAGCAGTGATCCAATCTGGTGCTGATGGGTGGCGCGAATGAATGAATATTAAGAGAATGCGTTTTGTTCGGTGTTTTTATCTGTTGTTTGTACTTGTGCATGAATGTGCTATCTGCCGGCTGCCGCGATACTGAGATTGTGACTGGGACTGTGATTATCATTATTATCATCATTGGTGTTGATAAGTGAGGTAACAAGGGCGTCCTCAACGGACTAGCTCGGAGACAGCTTGTAAAAGATATGCAGGAAGAGATACCTCATAAGGATCCTCAGTGTTTCATTATATAGGAGTACAAGAGTACAACACAATTACAACAGGAAGTTGTTATGGTAACCAACTCTAACTAGAAACATGGAATAGCCATGGGATAGGATCCACGTGATCAACTATTCCTAAATATATCAACTCCTAAATATAGCATATTCTAACATCCTCCCGCAATCTTAGCCATTGGCAAAGTTGAGATTGAACTTAAACTCTCTCAATTTGGATGCCGAGATAGGTTTAGTAAAACCGTCTGCCACTTGATCACCTGTGCTGACAAATCTGATATACAGTAACTTCTGTGCCACCCTTTCACGAACAAAGTGAAAATCGATCTCAATATGTTTCATCCTGGCATGAAAAACTAGATTTGCCGACAAATATTTTGCACCAACATTATCACACCATAACCGAGCAACAGGAGAATGAGGAACTCCAAGCTCAGTCAGTAGCCTTTGTATCCACATCATTTCAGCTGTCGCATTAGCCAATGCTTTGAACTCGGCCTCAGTGCTAGAGCGAGACACCGTAGGCTGTTTTCGAGCACTCCAAGAAACAAGATTAGGTCCAAAGAATACTGCAAATCCTCCCGTGGACCGCCTATCATCAACACATCCTGCCGCTGACAAGAGTAGAGTTTGACTTCCTCATTTGCAATCCTGTAGACAGAGTGCCTTTTACATACCGCAAAATTCTTTTAACATCACTCCAGTGTGTCGTGGTTGGAGAATGAAGAAATTGACACACCTTATTAACAGCAAAGGAAATATCAGGCCGGGTGAGAGTTAAATATTGAAGTGCCCCAACCACACTTCTATAATTGGTGCAATCATCGTCACCAAGACGATCTCCAGCAGCAAGACGGAGCTTCTCGGTGACAGAGATGGGAGTATCAACTGGTTTACAGTTCCACATATTGGCACGCTTGACCACATCCGTAGCATAACGCTGCTGTGTCAACACCAGACCATCAGAAACACGTTTTACTTCAACGCCAAGGAAAAAATGAAGATCACCGAGATCCTTTAGAGCAAAGTTGGTCTCAAGAGCAGTGACCAACGCCTTTGAAGCAGCCAAGGATGAGCTGGCAACAATGATGTCGTCAACATAGACTAAGACAAAGATAGTGACCTGTCCATTCCGATAGAAGAATAGTGATGTGTCCCCCTTTGATGGTGTGAATCCCAGCTGAATGAGTTTGCCATAGAGACGTGCATACCAAGCCCGAGGGGCCTGCTTAAGGCCATACAAGGCCTTATCTAATTTGCAGACAAAATTAGGACACCGTTTATCTTCATATCCCGGAGGCTGACGCATATAAACCTCTTCTTCCAACACACCATGAAGAAAAGCATTCTGAACATCGAGCTGCCGCAACGACCACCCTTTTGAGACTGCAACTGCTAAAACAAGACGAATTGTGGCCGCCTTCACTACCGGACTGAAGGTATCCTCATAATCAATACCATACTGTTGTTTATATCCCTTAGCAACAAGTCGTGCCTTATAGCGATCCACAGAACCATCAGCCTTACGCTTTATCTTGTAGACCCATTTGCAACCGATGACATTTTTGTGCTTGGGAGCAGGAACCAAATGCCAAGTTCGGTTTTTCATCAAGGCGTCATATTCGTTGTCCATGGCCGTGACCCAACGATCATCACGAAGAGCGGCCTTCATAGTTGTCGGTTCGTCAGGTTCAACAGTGCTAGTTAGCCCCCAATGGACCATGCCATCCGTGTACTGCTTGGGCTTTGTAATTCCTCTTTGAAGTCGAGTGCCATGATGATGTGTTGACGGGGGCGCAGGATGCACCACAGGATCTGCAGGCACACCGGAACCAGCGACGGGATCCTGAACGCCAGCCTGCTCCTGAATCGGCAACGAGGGGAGCACGAGAGCCACTGCAGCACCTGGCGAAGGCGGCGGAGAGCCAGATGCAGCTGGAGTCGATGTAGAGGATCCCGGGCTCGCAGTCGGGAACAAGCCCGACACGTCAGTCGGAGCGTCCAGATCGAATGGTGGAGACTCCGAGCCGGATTCCGGAGCAGAACCAGGCGCTGCTGTCTCCAATCCCGAAGAGGATTGCGCCGCCGGTCCCGTATGAGGTACGGACGTATCATCTCCGTGGGCCGCACCAGCGTTGTCGTGACGCGGTACGCTGGACGGCTGCATGAAATAATGCCCGGGACGCGTCGTTTCTTCACCAAATTGCTCCAAATTTTGCCCTACATCAGCCACAGCACTAGGGACACTAGAAATAGCATTAGTAGGACAATTAATCAGATGGTGATCATGCATATTTGCGCTCCCAAATTCAAGTGATGGATCTGGATTCTTAAGAATATCCGGCAAAAGGTCAAGTTCGGCACGGAGACGTGCTCCAGCATTGGAATGAAGCTAAGAGAAAGGATATATGGTCTCATCAAAAACCACATCACGTGAAACATAGATACGACCGGTAGATGGCTCAAGACATTTGAAACCTTTGTGAAGATTGCTATATCCGAGGAAGACACAACGTTTTGACCAGAACTGGAGTTTCTTGGTGTTGTATGGCCGGAGATTAGGCCAAACAGCACACCCAAAGGTCCTAAAGAAGGAATAGTCCGGTGAAGATCCAAGGAGTAGATTGTGTGGGGTGTTGTTGTGAATAGTTTTTGAGGGAAGACGATTGATGATAAATACTGCAGTTAAAAAGGCTTGATCCCAATACTTGAGTGGCATGGACGCATGAGCAAGAAGTGAGAGGCCAACTTCTACAATATGGCGATGCTTGCGTTCTGCAGATCCATTTTGCTGGTGAGCATGAGGGCAGGAAACATGGTGAGCAACGCCTAAGCGCTTGAAGAAGGCATTAAGAGATTGATATTCTCCTCCCCAGTCCGACTGGACTGCAAGGATCTTATGGCTAAACTGGCGCTCAACCATGTTCTGGAAATCACGAAAGCATTGGAAAACCTCAGACTTAAAACGCAGCAAATAGATCCAGGTGAACTTGCTAAAATCATCGATAAAACTGATATAATAAGAATGCCGACCCACCAAAGTTGGTGCAGGTCCCCATACATCAGTAAACACAAGCTCAAAAGGTTTTAAGGAAACACTATTGAACTTTGGATAAGGTAATTGATGGCTCTTGGCCATTTGACAAGCATCGCAAATCACACCACTATTGTTTGACTCACTAGAAAAAGATAACTTATGACGACTAAGAACACTCTTGACGACAGGCGACGAAGCATGACCTAGACGACTATGCCATAAGGAGATGGATGCCTTAGCAACTCCAAGGACTTGTTTATTTGATGAAGGCTGGTTTTGTGGATGATGAGGCTTCAATGGATAGAGACCACCCTCACATTCCCCTTCGAGGAGTGTCTTCCTCGTCACCTGTTCCTTAAGAGAAAAATATTTTGGATGAAGTTCAAGAAAGGCATTGTTATCTTTGACTAGACGATGTGCTGAAACAAGATTTTTAGTGGCGCTAGGAACATGAAGAACATTGTTTAGATGAATGTTACGAACTGGGGATTGCAAAACACTATGACCAACGTGATTAATTGTCATACCTGCCCCATTCGCTGAAAGCACTTGTTCCCCTCCACGATACTTGTCGCGGAACGAAAGCTTCTCCAAGTCACCGGTTATGTGATCCGTGGCACCAGAATCAATATACCAGTTGGTGTCGACCCCATAAGGAGCCGTGTTTGCTGAGGAAGCACTCTTCTGCGGGGGCCCGGTGAAGTTCGTGTCGAAGCGCTTGAAGCAGCGAACCACCGTGTGCCCTTCTTTCCCACAGAGTTGATAGAAGACGCCAGCAAGGAAGTTGCGACCACCACCGCCACCATTGCTGTTGCTGTTGTTGCGGCCGCCATTGCCACGACCACCACCACCACGGCGGAAGCCGCCGCGGCCACCATCATTGCGGCCACGCTGCTGCTGGTTGGAGGCGCCAGAGCCACCCCCACGGCCACCCTTGGTGGCCACGTTAGCAGAGGATTGGGAGCTGCCACCATGGATCTCCTTGCGCTGCTCAAAAGCTATGAGCTGCGCATACAGCTCGTTGACGGAGATTGGCTCGACACGAGAGGCCACAACGAAGACGATAGATTCGAACTCCTCGCCGAGGCCGGTGATGATGAAGGTGACGAGCTCTTCGTCTTCAAGCTTGCGACCTGCCGAGGCCATATCATCGACAAGTCCTTTCATCTTGACAAAAAAAATTCAGCCACCGACGACGCGCCCTTGGTCGCCGTGGCTAGGGCCATACGCGTAGACATAATACGTGCCCTTGACTGAGAGGCGTGCAACTCCTGGATGGCAGCCCACAACTCCTTGGCGGTGGATGCAGTGGCGACTTGACCAAAAATCTCCTTCGTGAGGGAGGAGAACAGGTAGCTAAGCACGATCTGATCTTCCGCAACCCACTTCTCATACGCCGGGTTGGGCTGCGGATCAATCTTCTTGCCGTCGGCCGTAGTGCCAGACGTAGCATCAAGCAACGCCGGTGGCGGTTCAGCGGTGCTCAGGATGTACCCATCGAGGCGAGCCCCCTTGAGCGCTGAAGACACGGTGGCGTGCCACATGTTGTAGTTCCCGCGAGTGAGCTTCTCGGAGACAACAGGAAGAAGCCCAAGGCAAGGGGTGCTTGCGGGAGGCGTAAAGTTTCCCCATGGATGCGAGGAGGAGCACGCGCGCGTGAAAGCGTAGATTGGATCGGTTATTCCGTGAGGAGGAGGAG